TTCATGATGAGTTTCAGCCAGTCTCCTTACTTTCTTTCCTTACGAACGGGAAGCTGTAGAGGGGCAGTTATTCTGACATGCCAACCCTTACACATGAAGCTATAGACTCTTTTCGCAATGTCCTAATAGATATACTACCATAATATTGAAACACCAGCATCTACCCTCATTAGCCATACCTCAAACCTGCTCACCCTCACACCTTTCATAGTCTTCTGCGTAATCTCACAGTTATCACTCTCATACTCCTGCATACTCCACTCACTGCAAGACACTCAGGCCATACTAGTTCTTAAACTCATGATGTGTAAACTTCCTGCTCGAGCCCCTGGCTCCCCGTTATATTACAGATACTATTATTACTCCGGTTCCTGAAGTCCCAAGTAGCAAAGAACACCTAAGCACGTAACAACAGTCCTGCCCTCACCCTCACCGTCATCACCTATTTTCCCCTACCATGACAGAGAGGCAGCCACCCCTGGCACAGCACTGCAATTATGCCAGTCTTACAGCAATTGCTTGCCAATATATCAGTCACTTGCGGGACTTCCTGCTAGACAGTTAGTTCCCTGACACCCTTTCTTCCTGTCTTACCTTTACAGAAGCACAGAGACCATTGTTTATTTATTTGTCTACAATAATAGATATTGACATTTTTGCCAAGATTAACCCTCTTTGACAAGTCCCTCGCCCCTTTTTTCCTTGCATGACTGGTCGTAAATACATCCTTTTGTCTGGGGCTACAATTTTATGTTTTGCATTAGTATTCACGTTGGCCTAAGTCTTCTAACAGTGTTTATTTCAGTATTTCTCAAAAGTTTTCAAGTTTTCTTATAGATTTTTTCATTCAGTCTCTGCTCGATACCATCTGATACTGTCCATACCACTCGACCTCCCCCTAAGTCTAGCACGAATCACACTTCCGACTCATTTGCATACTAAATATCTTGTCCTAGTCAAAGGTTACTCCTCCCCTTCACTTCATCAGTTAATTCTGGCAGGTCTCACTATATGCGTGCAGCAGGAAACGGTCACGCCTTTTGCATTTTATCAAGCAACATCCCCTTCCTTCTTCCTCCGATTCTCAAGCAGGGCTGTATGAGTATGGGTCCGGAACTAATTTCACCTGTAAGGTGCCAAATGATGTCTTGCTCTCCCTGGATTTTACAGCATGAATGGACGGGCTACTACCGAAATGTGCATCTAAGTAAAGGAGACACAAGACTGAAACATTCTTGGGAAATACTATGATTCTTAATTATTTTGTTTCCACTGTTTATATGCAACGCCATAACTCGCCTATGACTACCCATGCAGCTATCTCGGTCCTTGAATCACTGGACAAGTTCACTCATGTAACGCATGCCTCCACCCCAGAGGATGTTCCAAACCATCCATTTATGTACATTAGTAGAGACATAAATTTATTATTTTGTTATTACATCCAAAAACACCGTCGTGGATTCATAACTAAAATGCTGAATGAATATCCAGTGCTTAAGTGAGATCCTTACCAATATGTGGAATATCAATTCCACATATTAATCATCACCAAATTTCATCTTTCATTTTATCATATCAACAATCTGATGTTCTTTTGCTTCAGTAAGAAAAACATTCCCACTCCCAATTTTCTCCTTGCTATGGGTTCCCTCTTATGTCCTGCAGTGCTTCTTCAATAAAGCCTTGAATAAATGCAAAAATCCTTGTATGAGAGATGACTACATTTAGCTGTTCTAAAGCTTCTGGAGAGCAGATAGTTACACTTCTTCCCTGCGGATGTCTCTGTTCCCCCTTCAACACTACCTATCTTGATCCAAACACGTTCACGGACGTTGTCACCTATTGTTCTTAAGGAACTTTGTATGCTGTGACGTTCTGATCCCAACGCGACCACAATTTACCACCCGTCGCAGCCTCTACGCCCACGGCGCCCAAAGGCTGCTGTCACTCTACTCTCGTCGCAAACTTGAGGGAATAGTCACCTCGTCTCGGGATATATATATGGTCTGAAGAGCCGCTGCCACAACACCACGATCTGACACGACCGGCGCTGCTGCATCGGATTATCGCCCCATACGCACAGACCTCTACGGACCAAGGTGAGCCCTGACACTACCCATAATGAGCTTAAGTAGTCTTCATGGATGAGTGAAATATGTTGTTTCTCTAACACCAGCCAAACAAGCATGGCCAGGATCTCTCTCCAAATGAGTGTGTGTGTGTGTGTATGCGCGTGTGTGTGCGCGCGTGTGTGTGTGTATGTGTATGTGTGTGTGTATGTATGTGTGTGTGTGTGTGTGTGTGTGTGTGTGTGAAAGAAAGGGGGTAGAAACACACACACACACACACACACACACACACACACACACACACACACACACACACACACACACACACACACACACAGAGAGAGAGAGAGAGAGAGAGAGAGAGAGAGAGAGAGAGAGAGAGAGAGAGAGAGAGAGAGAGAGAGAGAGAGGGGGGGGGGCATGCATAC